ACAGCTCTTGCGTTAACGAAGCCCTCGTTAACCAACCACGCTTTTTATGCCCACGTCAGTGGGAAAACACGGTTGTTGCACTTTTTATTACTTACAAATACTCTGTACACCACCACCTTCATAGAGAGGTTGCACATGGAACGTTTGATTTTGTGGTTGCATTGTCAAAAGTTTATTAGATTGTTTAGATCTCTGTCTCTCGCTTTCTTTCTTGCTTTTTTTTTCTTGCGAATAACTGAATCCCACTGCACAAGAAGGTGCCAACAGACAAATTTCACTGTGGGATGTCTACGGTCCTAAAGATAATATAAAACAAAACACGTAAAAATCACTACCCCTTTTGGGAGTAGTTGTGTTTGCTTAAGTTTATGTATGTACGTGTGTTCTTACTTGCTTGCTACGTGCGTCATGACCAAGCAAAATCCCGCGTCTCTAATTCCCGGCACATCGTCTACCAGGAGTAATCTCTAAAGCCGCTTCTTCTTAGTAATATGAGCTTTTTACGTTTATAAAGTATAGTCTTTTCCTACCCGACAGTGTGAAATCATTGCACCGACGGAGCACAGCGGAACATACGCAATTTTAATCACGGCTTTATCGTTCGTTTTTATCGCTCTCAAATTGTCCACTTCATCGGCAAACTTGAAAGCCTGTCTCGAACACAGGAATACTCCGCGCACTCAGAACCGTCTGAAGGACCCCAAACTCTTGTGCAAGCAGAGACTTAATTAGTGCTGCTTCGACGAAAATTTGGCGCCTGTCACCTTTTCTGGCTGAGAGGTCGACTTTTTGGTGCGTTGAGTTTTTGACGCGTTAACTAGGCTTTCATATTATTATTTTTTGTCAGCTGAGACCTTGGACACCTTGGTTTTCTTTCTACTTTATTTTGTTTTCTCGTTCAGAGAGCCTACTATAAGTTGGTGAATTGGTACGTTATTGCCATCAAATAAAGGAAATTAGGAGAGAGAGAGATGGAAACAGTGTGAGAGAAAGCGAAAAAAAAAAACGAAAGAAAGAAAGGTAGAAGACTTAACCAGTGACGTTCCCTGTTGATCATCCTGTCCTTGCAGAAGAGGAAAGTTACTAATGCGCGCAACAAATAATGAAGAAAGACACACAACAAGGTTAAAAAATAGGCAAATAATGGGAACACGCAGAAACGTGAAGGCTACAAACTATGCTGCCGGGCAAAATCAGTCTTGTAGAACATTGTACCAGGGTACAGATAACGTTGCTCACCCGAGCAATTTTTTTTACTGCTACGTGGCAAATTATATTTAATGAAACACGCTGCACATATTCTGTGTTCTTGCATCGGTTCATTTGCTTCCGTATTTGTTTCTGTTCTATCTCAGCCGCAATCAGAACACTAGGGGGTGCGCCGAGAATGGACGATTTCGGAATGGCGTCACGGGAATTACCATGTTTTTCACTGCGAGCTTAATGTAGATATTTCACTTGCGGTTGTTGTTTTCGGTGGCGTAGCGTTCATTTTATAAAATGCCGGCGCCCTCACACAGCTGTGGGTCCGCGAATCGATATGTTTTACGAGGCCTTGACCGGCAGTTTTTTTTCAAGCGAGGGGCACAAAATGAACAGAGTTATCAACGCTCGATTTCTCCTTTAATTACCATGAACCCTAAGGGAGAGGGAAAAACAAAAGCGGGATAGTCCGAACGAGTATTTTTCTGGTTTTTACTACTTTACATGCGCGGCGAGAAATGTTAGAAGCTGTCGAGAAGGGTCATCAATAATAGGTTGGTCTGCTTTTTTTGTATTCGCGCCCAAGCTGTGAAAGGCACTTAAAGTGGACTGGTTCTTTCATGTTAACTACGAGAATGCCTTTTCCTGACGTCAAATTGCTGGTAAAAAAACTACACGAACGGAAGTAGCTGTACTTATATATATGCAGAACAGTCCCCAGTCACGTTCCAACCTATAAACATGTAGGTCAGTGTAGCTAGAGTAAGTGCGTTCTCGAAAATTAAGGTTGAAGTGGTATGGTCCTCTTTTGGGATGATAAATGGTTCTGAACCAGAAAAGCAGCAAGACTGTCATGGCTTTAGAACCGATTCTCACTTCCTGCCTTAGAGCTTCGCTTCCCGGAGAGTCATATGAGATCTTCCGTATAAACTAAGTCTACGTAAAAGTTAAGGAGGCGTCTCTCATAATCATATCGTGGTTTTGGGACGTTAAACCCCACAAATCAATCGTAAAAGTTAGGTGCCCGATACAGGGTGTCCCACATAACTTGAGCGAATAATTTGAAAGTGAAAGGCACTTAGGAGGCACATTGGACCAAACGCATACTACTCGCATTAGCCTGTAGGTACTCAGGCTATGTTTTATTTCTCCCATACTAATTATTTATTATTGATTATTTACCTGCTTTTTTATGATGGGCTTGAAACCCAAAATATGAACACTGAGATGTAGAGCACTTACGGGAACCACTAATTGAATTGTTTCCTGTACGATACGTCTAGCGCTGCTATTTTTTCCGCGTTGTAAAGAAAGCCTACAGCAGCACTATAAGAGTGCGCTCGTGCGGTCCGGCTTCTTTTCAATTTCGCGGGCTTTCCATACAACGTAGAAAAAATAACAGAGCGAGACGTATCGTACAAGAAACAATATAGTCGGTGGTTTCTGAAAGTGCTTTACATGTCAGTTTTCATATTATGGATTTCCAGCCCATAATAAAAAATAGGTAATTAGGCAATTAATAATAGTTAGTATGAGAAGAAATAAAAATTACCTGAGAACCTACAGGCTAGTGCGAGTAGTACGCGTTTGGTTTAATTCGCCACTGAAGTGTCTTTCAATTCTTTAATCTCTTTAATTCATCAGTGCATCTTTAGAGCACCATGGCTACGAAAATACGCATTCATGTATCCGACTCTTCCATTACGCCATCGACTTTCTGTCACTGATAACGATGCATCGTCTCAACGCTGGTTCCGCGCCAAAAGCTTCAAGTTTAACATCTGAGGAGGAGAGAGAATACGTGTTTTGTCTAAACAAGTGCTTCTGCACCCTAAAAGGACGGTCATCTAATTCCAAGTAGCTCCGGATCACATTTCTCGTGTCCGTTCGATCAAGCGGCCCTGTTTCTTTGTGTAAGAATTCAGCCGCTTGACCTACCGCCTTTATAAAACGTGTTGGGCTTTCCCGTCCCAAAATCACTGGCATGGTTGTGAGGGACGCCATAGGAGAGGGCTCTAGAAATTTCGACCATCTGGTGTTATTTAACGTGCTCCTGAAGCTAAGTGCATGGATATCTGGCCTTTCGCCTCGATCAAAATGCGGCCCTATAGTGACCGGAATTCATTCTCGCGACATACGGGTCAGCATTCGAGCACCACAACCTGAACTATACGATGGCAAACAGGGTGGACTCGTTGAGTTAGTTATTTGCACACCTGTTAGAGCACCGTATTCATTAGACCACTGCCGGGAGACCACTGTGGTGTAGGGCACTCCGACGCAGCCAAAATCATTTTGCTGTCCCTAATCTGAATCGTAATTGATGTGCTTCTATAACGTGCTTCGATAACAGCGTCGGCATGCTATAGTGTTCGCTCAGTTTTACCTCTTACACCATCATTTCGCAGCGCGTAGTATGTGATGAGTTGTTCTTATATTTGATTCTGTACACTTACTTATGAAGCACTGAGAACTGTTGTACAGCTCAGCATATATTGACGGTTTTTCTGCGAAAGAGTATAACGTCGCCTCAAATCAGCACTATGAGCCGTCGTCCTCCTTGTTGTGAAGCGTGTGGGTGATCATGTATCCCAGTGATTACCACGCAAATTAGAGTAATCTTTAAGCAATGTTTAGCTGTGTGTTTAGAATTCCTCATTAACAGAACTAACGGTGAGTAGCCTCATTTGAGATAGTACACTTTAGCAAAATATGCCTTATGACAGACGGCACTGCCATCGCGTTGTGGCAGCGTGCGCAGAAAAATTGCCTGCAAAGTTCACTCGCTGCCAATTTAATATTTTCAAGTACCGATGAATGGGTACGTTAAAGTATCGTACCTTTTTTTTTCTTGTCTTCGCTGTTTCATAAGGCACACACAAGTAGACAATTGATGAAACCACACAGTGTAGTTATGTTCTGTTCTAACTGTTTTGCTGTGGAGAGGTTGAGATGAATATTGCCTCGGCTACTCCATATCACGAGGTTCTGCAGCGAAAAAAAAAGAATAATACAGAACGGTACCCAAAAATCAACAATACGGCGTAGTTTTATCCCATGCTCGTGTCAGTATGGTCAAAATGGCCAATGTCACTGCCCTGCTCGTTTCCCACTGCATGTGTCTAACTACTGTCACCATCAGTATTAAAGCGCATCTCTTAAGCGCCCCTTCCTATGTTGACTATCGGTGTGCCTCGTCCGCTGTCACCAAGAGAACGAACACAGATAATTATAAAACGAACGTAGAGCGCAGAGAGGACGACGAGTTGTCAACGCGTATGGGACTGCGCTAAAGCTTTGCATTCAGAAGTATCCTAATCATTGGTGCTTTTTTCTACCAGTTAGTTTATTGTTCCTCGGTGTTTACCTATTTTGAATGCCACTCGTCATCTTGTATTTGTTTGGATTGTAGGTTCAATATTCTTTTTTTTTAATTTTAGCGTTTGTAGTACGTGTATATGCTAGCTAGAACGCGAGTGACAGATAGGAGAGGAATGTAGGTTAAGGAGATATCAATTTCTGATTGGCGTTGCTACCTCACTGCAGTGTAGTACGCAATGACAGCTCGGTTATAGGTCACTTTAATACGCATCTCAAAGTGTTACAAAATGCAAACAAGGCATGTTGTTCGCCGTGTTTATGTTATCTTAACGAGGTATAAAACAAAGCTACAGGAAATACGTTTCTGTAAGAGTGTTTCTATGCGCCTTTACCACAAGAAATTTCAAGCTGGCATGATTTCCATGTATATTGTTTCAGAGTTTGTGACCAACACTGCTTCTATCTTAATTTTGCAGGACGAGAAGAATCAAGTCCTAACAACCATCGTTTGGCTCGACCAGGTGAGTCGAGTGACAGATCTTGTGTGGCTATCATTTATTCTTTTCTTAGATAATTTTTCTTTAAATAGCCCATGCTCCCATCACAAGTAACTATCTAGAGTGGTGTTACGTAATTTGAATGCCGGCTGTATACATTGAGGCTGCCACTTTTGCGATGTGATCGTCTAATTACGCTGCCGTTATCATTTCTACCATTCATGCATCACTAGCTGTCAAAAGCTAAAATCAAGGGCGTCAATATAATTCCAGGCAGTGTACCCAGATACTCGAAATCAATTCGCAGTGATGGTTTTCGCACGCAACATCCTAGCATGTATTAACAACAGCAAGGACCAGTGTCGCGTTCTACTTCTAGCTATTCAGTTGACGTGTCACAAAAGTATTTGCACCCTTCGCAGTTTTTACAGTCCTTACAGACTTTGCAGTCTTTAGAGTTTTTGCTGCCTTAACAGCAGCTTTTAGTACTTTTTTACAGCCTTTACTGCCTTCAGGGTATTTGCAGTCTTTAAGTCACAGCAGCTTTTACTGCCTTCATAGTCTTTGTATTTTTTACTGTCTTTACAGTCCCCACAATGTTTACAGCAGGTAAAAATTTTATCAGTACACGCGACTTGACTATGTGAAACGAATCGCATAGTGCGCCATTGGAGTCCAAAGCCTCAAAGCACAGTGCTGTAAGGATACTATAACAACGTTTCAAAACCTTCCATCTAGAAATTTAAACGGGGGGTGTTAGCGATTGCGTGCGCACAGACACTGAGCAATTTACCGGCCGGTAAAACTAGCATGGACCAGCAACGTTTCCTCTTGCTGGTGGCGCAGAGTCGATCCTGACCTCCCGTAACACGATAGTGTGTTCCTGGCAAGAACTTTTGTTTTCCAGATCTTTATTGCATTGTCAGGGGCAGCCATAGGTTACGCAATTCAGCGAGAAACACTACAAAGCAAAGTCGTCCACACTCAGCTCAAACTCCATTGTGACCAACGTAAAAACAAATAGAATCTTTGTCTTGCAGACTCTCTCGTTTCGCTGACGATAGCAGAGGTCGTATTTCATGCCGAAAGCAAGATTGTTCGTGCGGGGAAATTACTTAATATCCGCACGGCAAGCAGCAATGCTTATTCGCCGGCAGCCTCTGTGACGACATCACGGTGTTCTGCATGGAGAAGCAAGCTTTTTTGCGTTGGTGTTGACCGGACGCCAACACAGGCCACTCGAAGTGCTGTTTGGAATCGGCACGGTAACACTGTCGCCGACAGTACCAGAGCAAAGAAAAGCACTTTCGACTGATGAAATAGTGTACAACAGCGCAGAGATAAAAGCGAGCCTTGAGGAGGAATGTGAGGGTGATACGTATATATGTATTGTTCGCTTTTATTTTTGATGTACCCTTTCTTTTCTTGCGCGACGTGGTTACAAAGATCAAAAAGTATTAACCTTATGAATTCGGTCGAACTTACCCGAAAACCAAACATTTCAAAGTGATATTGTGAATGCACGCTTGCACCGCTGTCGAACAGGTGGCTGTAGATAAGTTTCATGAAAAAAGTGGAAGACCCTTAAGCGTCGCCTTTAGGAGTTGAACGTGATAGCGAAATCCGGCCCCTAGTGTGCCCTTAAACTGCTAAGTGCATACTTATTAATATGTTTTGTTACACACACGCGCGCGGGCCAGCGCGACGTATCCATATAATGGCACAGGCTTCCGATCTAATGAACAGCAGTTTTATAACAACTTCATGCAAATATTGTACTGCAGTGATATAGTCACAAGGTCTTGTGTTAAGAACTGCGCGTATATGCGGACACTATTATTCGTAAATGTTCACATTCTCTCCTCCATCTTGCGTTAGTTATCTGACAATTGTTCCACTTGTTTTTCTGGGGACCTCTTCCGGCTGATCGTGACAAGCACCGCCTTATGGTCGCTGAAATAGCAACTGCAGTGCTTCACTTCTTTAAAGGTGTTGTGAGAATGAAAAGCTAAATCCATGCAAATATTGTGGTCTGTTGAAATGGCATTTCCTTGAAGGGGCATAAAGAGACTCACAATGCCTCAAAAATGCCAGCACATTATCTATAGTTTGCCATTTGCTTGACACAATGCCTCAAAAATGCCAGCACATTATCTATAGTTTGCCGTTTGCTTGATCAACGCCTCTGGAAAGGCATGATATGTTCTCCGTTAGATGGACGCAGTTGTTCATTTTTAGAGCTATTTGAAAGTTCCTGTGTGTTTTTAGCGGCGATGGCTGCACTATCCCGGCCTTTTTCGACGTAGTTTGATAGCCTCCCAAAGGCGCATACAAATCACCGATTTAGCTTGTTTTCGTCGTGACAACTGTTGAACAAAATGCGTTAAGGAGACTCCTTCCACTACAATCATGTCACTTATGTTGTGTCTTTTTCCGAAGCAGTCGCAAGCAACATCGTGGCTTTGTGATAGGGCACCTGCTTGTCACGTGAAAGGCCCGGTTGAACCGAAAATTTCATTATTTATTTTATTTGCTTTTTTTCGATTTTTAGTTCACGGACGATTTCTCGCTCACAACCAACGGCGCAAACACCAACGGGGCCGACGCCGACGGCGGAATTTATGCGACACGAGCTCTCTAACGCTATCGCGTTAACAAACAAGTCGTCAGGTAACTTCCGCAAAAAAAAAAAAATACGTAGGAGGGACATAGTAAGGATTGTGCCCAAGTGTCCCGATCTTCGTGGTTGTACCTCTCGAGCAACGAATTAAATCATATCATGTAATATTTGATGCTCCCAACTAATCTCGCAAAGTATAAGCAAGCCGGCATGTAGGTTATGCTCAGTTGTCACATTTAGATAGCAGCAGCTCCTCTCTTTCTCTCTCTTTCTCAATATATATATATATATATATAGGCAGGCATGGTGGTTGAGTGGCCGTAGCGTTGCATATAGTCCAGTAGATCCTCCGTGAGCGGTCACAACGTGGTTTATTTTGGCCTGATGAAGGCCAGACTCTAGGTCGAAACGTCGAAATAAACCACGTTGTGACCGCTCACGGAGGATCTACTGCTGGACTATATATATATATATATATATATATATTATATATAATATTATATATATATATATATATATATATATATATATATATATATATTATATATATATATATATATATATATAGATAGTGTGTGTGGTGTGTGTGTGTGTGTGTGTGTGTGTGTGTGGGTGTGTGTGTGTGTGTGTGTGTGTGTGTGAAGTACGAATTTTTTTAGTTAGACGAACCATTGCACGTACTCCCAAACTGCGACACCGATACTGATTGTGCAAATACTTTAAAGCAAGTTTTTTTTTTGTTTAGTTTCGTTAACTTCGTGAATTACAAGAGTGGTTAACGATTTAGAGTACTCGGGACTCTACTGTGGGAGAGCTGAAAGCTGTCCCTTAACTCACACTTGACGAGGCTGCATGATGAACAAATGTCATTCAAAATCAAGACTACGTGTGTATAGAATGATTTGTGAACGCTTTAGAGCACTAGACGCACTCTACGGTGGGAGAGCCATAGGCTGCCCCGGCCAGACAGGAATGGCGCCAATAGAAACGGGATGGATATTTGTGGGTAATGTTAGATATGGAAGGTGTCTTAGGGACAAGATTATGCAGATGGCCTTGCAAGGCTTCGTCAGTTAGCACGTTCTTTGTCGAAAGTGCGTAATAGCATGAATGACCTTTTGTGAGACAACCACTACTTCGTTGACCTTGTATTTTGCTGCTCGCGGTTCGCTTTTATCTAGCATGCACGCGATACTAGAATGCCGTCCGGCACGTTGTTTTAGTCTTCGTTTTATTTTGTAGGTAAATTGATAATATATCTTGATAAGAAAAGCGTGGTACCTCTCTTGTACGTAAAAACTAATGTAGGAGAAACGCAAGGCTCAATAAATATTGAACCACGTCTATATACAGCTCATATAGCTCTACATGGCTGCATAACACTTAACGCAGCCATTTGACGTATTGATTGCAGTCAGCGTTAGCTATCTTTTTTTTCTATCTTTTTTTTGCATAACTTGACTTCACTGGGTCAAAGCGATTACATATCACATGAACAAAACAAAAAAAAAGACGACGAACAACGCACGGACACAAGTTCTGCCGGCAAATAAAAGCTCATCAGTTTCCCATAAACGCACTGCTTACACGCCTACATATTTGCATTACCGCAAAGCGGAGCCCTTCCTTTGTTGCCCGTGCTTCTTGCCAAAAGCAGTCACGTTATTCATGCACGCGCGTATCGCTGCAACTCACTGGCCTGAACCTTTATTTGGAAATATAAGGTCGTGTTAATCTATACCGTTTGTCCGACTACATGTCTGTCTTACGTCGTTTGTTTTTATACCGCAATCGTTTTCGTTATGAATTACTAATTAGGGAGTTCTTTTATACTGCGTTCATGCACTATAGTTGTGCTCGTTTCGAGCTTTGTTCATGGTACATCGATCGTGCGAACCTTGAAACAGTGCATGCGATGTATCGGGGCGCGTCGTGATCGTTTAGGGGTGCACCAGCTCCCTGTGCAAGCCCCAGTGTTGACCGATACGAACAGGTCTGTCAACTTTGCTGGCCACCCCAAAAACACTCGAGCCCGTGAACAGGGAAAGAAAGGGCGCACCTTATTTTGGGAGGCAGGCGTATCTTCCGGGTGCTGTGTGACTTACGCGATTATTGATTAGGTATCGATATCTCGAGTGATGAACCGGAATAAAAGAATGAAAAGGCTCAATCCCCTTGCGAAAATGGTAACACAGTCTTCACGCGTAGCAAAAAAAAAAATACTGAGGAGGACCAGGCCTCGAATTACAAAGTAAGGCTAAGGCCAGCGTGGTCGAAATGGGTATTTGCATTTTCTTTATCACGTTGTAATGCGTCACATAGTCGTCCAGTATTTCTTCTTACCGCACGCATCCTGCCGCACGCAAGTTCGTCCTTTTATTGACAACCGGTTTATGTACGCACC